TTTCTTTTTTTTTTTTTTTTTTTTTTTTAAGGTTTAAATCACAAAACATTTACAAAGCTAGATAAATTAATATACTAAAAAATCAGCTTTCTCCTTAAATTAATGGGCTATCAAGGATATGAAAGAAAAACTGATATCGATTTAACACAAAAAAGCACAGCTATGGTTAGGAGTTAGTCAGAGGGAAGTGAAGAGATTACAGAGATCCTAGAATCTTGGAAAGCAAGCATAATTCCTCTTTTCGACTAACTCCTCCATCCAAAAAAACAAACAAACAAAATATAAGGTGTTCTCTTTTATGTAAAAAGTTAAATGATTCACTTAAATTATTTTTCTAGGCTTTAGAAAAAAACTTTTTAAAGATTTTTTTGCCATAGGGTACATGCGCCTGCTGGACCGAGACAGAGAAAGAGAGAGGCCAAGTGAGAAATCACCCGCCATGGGTATGGCCATGCTGCAACCCCTTATCCTCTCGTGATTTTAGGCATGCATGCACACGTACCTTCGTGATTTTCAAGCCACCAGGTCCAAAGCTCAAACCACAGTCCACCATGTGGAAGTCTAGTACTTTAACCACCAAGCCAAATATTGGCCCCTCTAATTGTGTTCTTTTTTTTTTGGGGGGGGGGAGAGGTTTTTGCTATAGGGCGCTTGTGCTCGCCAGACAGAGAGAGACAGAGAGACAGAAAGCGAGAAATCACCCCCCAGATGTGATGGCCACGTTGTAATCCCTTCTCCTTCATTCTCCTCTCAGGATCTTGGGCACGCATGCACACGTGCCCGGCGTGAGTTTTAAGCCACCGGGTCCAGGACTCGAACCACGGTCGACTACATGGGAGTCCAGCGACATAGCCATTACGCTAACTGCTGGTCCCTAATTGTGTTCTTAGTATATATTTTTCAAAGATTTATTTAATTTTATTACTTCTAATACACCAGAGAGGGGCAGAGAGAGAGAGAGGAAAAGAAAGCAAGTCATCAGGCCTGGGACTCAGGTGTGGTTGGCCATGTGGGAGTCCAGCACCTTAATCACTACACCACCTACTAGCCTGACAATTAAATTTTTATGATGAATGGTATATTTGTAGAAGTATATATGTATATTTGTTTTCCATAGACTGCTTACTAATTACAAAAGGGAAAATATATACAGTGGAGAAACTAGACAACACATTAATATCAAATTACTTGGGGCCAATAGATGGCCTGGTGGTTAAGGAGTTGGACTCGCACATGGCCAACTGCAATTTGAGTCCAGGACCTGGTAACTTGCTTTCTCACTTTTCCTCTCTGCCTTTCTTGCACTCTCTGGTGAGTGCACAGGCCCTATAACAAGTTAAATAATAATAACAATAATAAATTCTTTTAAAAAGAAAGAAAAATAATAATGTAGAAGCAAATTCAGATAAAGCAAAATTTCAAATTTAACACTTACTTACTTATAATACTTACTTTACAACTTTGCCGTACTTGGAAAATATCTGAAACAAAATAATTCACAATTTAAAATCATAAAAAAATTCAAATTTAAGTTGTATACACTGAGCAAAATCTTTGTTAAGAGTTTATGAAAAATATTATCCTTTAGTCTGTAAGACAGGCCCTAGGGGAAAAACTTTTTGGTGACTAGAATAATATTCTTATTGACATTGGACTCACACATGTATCTGCCTTGTTTCCTAAGTTTGTGACAATGGAGTAGGTACAGAGAAGAAAACAGTACGCATGTGGTAGATCAAAAGCATACACAACTCATAGCTGCTACATTTCTGTGATATAGCATGGCAAATATGAATTCTACGATAGCTACAGCTAAACCTGTGTTTTAAATATCCATGCTATGGGGCCAGCAGGTGGTGTAGTGATTAAGGCAGTGGACTCTCCCACATGGCCAACCACAGTTCAAGTCCTGGACCTGGCAGCTTGATTTCTCACTTTCTTTCTCTCTCTCTCTGGTCAAATTAAAATAAATGAATGAATAAATAAAGTTAAATAAATAATTCTTTTAAAAAAATCCATGCTATGGGAGGACACTATTCTTATTTTACCACACTATAATAAACAATCATTGTTTGGGAAGACAGCTCCTTACACTGCTTATGAAATATAAAAGACCAGAACCAGCAGTTGGCGCAATGGCTATGTTGTTGAACTCCCATGTAGTCAACCATGGTTCGAGTCTTGGACCCAGAGGCTTAAACTCAGGCTGGGTGCGTGTGCGTGTGTTCCCAAGATCCCAAAGAGGAGAATGGAGGAAAAGGGATTGCAGTGTCACCATCCCTCCTGGGGGGATAATATCTTGCTTTCTGTCTCTCTGTCTTTCTGGCAAGCGCATGTGTCCTATAGCACAAGCCTCTTAAAAAAAAAAAAAAAAGGAAATATAGAACAGTGTTGGCCATATAGCCTCGTTGATAAGAAGTTGGATTCCCATGTGTTCAACTGTGGTCTGAATCCTAGCCTTGGTAGCTTGAAAAATATGCTGGGTATGTGTGCATGCATGCCCCAAATCCTGACAAGATGGAAAAGTGGGGGAGAAGAGATTGTTGTGAGACCATACCCATCAGAGGGTGCTTCCTCCCTTCTCTAAGGTGAGCGGAAATACCCTGTGGCAATTAAAAATAAAACATAAAAGAAAACTTCTATAATGGAAAATCTATTTCCATCCACCTTCCTCTGCTCACCATTAACATGCTGTTACTTTATAGTTGACCCTTTTTTCACATCTTTCCCCAAGGAGTCTCATCTATCTATATAGTTTCAGCCATTTCCTATATACTAATACCTCCTATTATTATATATTTCTTAGAAATGTCTTTTAGAATATGTTAATATAAGCAACAGGTAATAATACATTTTTGAGTTCTATGAGTAAGCTATATAATGCTAAACTATAGCATAACTAGATGAAGTGTTAGCAAAACCAAGTTCTGAAGGTCAGTACAGTTTTCTTTTTTTGGGGAGAGGTTTTCTGCTATAGGGTGTGTATGCTCACCAGAAAGACAGAGACAGAGAGACAGAAAGCGAGAAATCAACCCCCAGAGGGAATGGCCACTCTGCAATCCCTTCTCCTCCATTCTCCTCTTGGGATCTGGGGCATGCACGCACACGTGCCCGGCGTGAGTTTTAAGACACCGGGTCCAGGACATGAACCGTGGTGGGCTACATGGGAGTCCAGCGACACTGCCATTATGTCATCTGCTGGTCTTGTCAGTACAGTTTTCTACTTAACATTTTCTAATGGCTTTTCATTTCACTTAGAGGGAAAGCCAGAATCCTTAAGCAATAACAAATTACTGAAAAAAACCTCTTTAGATTACTTACAAAGTGACTGCTTATGATCTATACACACACCCCTCCCACACACCCAGCAGAGTAACTTTTGATTACTCCTCCTATTCTCTTAATGCTTTTCCTCTAGACACCTGCATAGCTGTTTCTTACTTCCTTTGGGTTTTTATATAGAAGTCATTTTCTCAATAAGGTCACTTCTGACCACCCAATCTAAAATTTCACCTCCATTTCTTATTTAACATTTAATAGACCCCTTTCCTGCTTTACTTGTTTTTCTTAGCATGTAACACTTAAGATCTAACATAATTTGACTTTTTTTTTTTAATGGTTTTTGCAATAGGGTGTGTGCGTTCACCAGAGAGACAGAACAAGACAGAGGGGGAACGTGCAAAATCACCTCTCAGAGGGGACTGCCACACAACAATCCCTTCTTCTCCATTCTCCCCTTGGAATTCGGGGCACACATGCACACACTCTTACACACTTGACATGACTCTCAAGCCATCATCAGGTCCAGAAGTCTGGTTGGCCATGTAGGAATCCAGTGCCTTAGCCACTACGCCACCTGCTGGCCCCTAACTTGACTTTTAAAAATATTTCATATTTTTCTCTCCTGCTATACTTTGAGTGTCAAGAGAGATTTTTATCTTTTTATGCACTGATAAGTTTCTGATATTGTTAAGAGTGTTCAAATGTAAAAAGTATTCAATAAACACAAGAAGTCTCTATTTTGATACAAGAAAATGGAAGTTGATCTTCACATTCTTTGAACTCAAGCTATCTTAATCAGCCAAGAAGCATGTGTCACCTAGGCAACATCTCTCTACTTAGTATCTACCCATAGTAGCAAAGAGAACAGAACACGCTTAGAATACAGGATTCATGTCATTTCTCTCAGTTCCTCTGACAGGGTAAACTTAGGAAAGTTTCCTTATAGGACACAGACGTTATGAAATTTTGTTCTCTGTATGATAAACAGGTTAAAGAGGGGGACCAGCAGTTGGTGTAATGGCAATGTCGCTGGACTCCCACGTAGTAAGTGACAGTTCAAGTACCGGACCTGGTGGCTTAAAGTCACGCTAGGCATGTGTGCATGCATGCCCAATATCCCAAGAGGAGAATGGAGGAGAAGGAATTGCAGCGTGGCCATATCCCTGGGGGGTTATTTCTCACCTTCTGTCTCTCTGTCTTTCTGGCATGTGTACACGCCCTATAG